AATAATACAAGACAAGTGAATAAAATAATGCAATACTTTTTTTGTAGTTTAACTGATTTATTTTATTATTTATTTATTATATTTCTACCTCAATCTTTGGACGGGCGCCTATTTCAAATATATAATTTTTTTTCATAAACAGCTGTTACAGCTGTTTATTATACTTTTCAAAATGTCTTGTGACGAAAATTTTCTTGTTATAATTCTTATTTTAATTGTTCTTATTTCATGTGGTTTTTTTTGGATTTTGTTTTGCAAAAAAATCGAGAAACAGCATGCGAAGGTGGATAGTAGTGAATTTTTGTGTGAACAATGTGCTGACCACCCAGTAGCAAATGTAAGTTCAGTTTTGTTGTTTTGCCCTTTCACAATGTTTGCTTTTTCTTTTTCACAGTTTATAAGATTTTGTAATTCACGAAAATATTTGGCGGAATTGGCGCTGTTGAGTTCACCGGAACGATCCAGGAAAAAGGATGCCAATCTCAGGCAGCTTAATGAATTAAAAATAAAATACACAATACCGTACAGATGCAGCTGTACAATGAATTTATTTGAAGCTTTTTATGATTAGATTTGTATTACACAATAATGAATTAAATGACTTGTGAACTTTGAATCTTGTTTATCAATCGCGACCAGCAAGGAATGCTGTAATAATAATACCAAGGTCCTTCAATGAACATTCTGTGTCATTAGCATAATCAGGTACACCAGCTAAAGGGGCATCGGTAATTTCTACTTGTGCCATAACAGGGCGATGATCACTGTCGAATTGAGGAAACTCCACCATTTGAATATATCGCACATTATTAGTTGCTATGATGTGATCATATCGACGGGTACCGTGAGTTGCACCACTTGGTATCCTAAAGAGAGAATAATCATTTAGAAATGATCGCAAATCCGCACCATTGTTTTCTTGTCGAGTTGGTCGATTTGGATTGCGCACTTGTTGTAATGGATCCGCGTTGAAGTCTCCGACAATCAGCACCGCGATAGCAGGTTGTATGTGGTTGTCGATAAAGTCAGTACCACCCGTTAGTAGTCTGTTCAAGACACCGCGCAAAACTGTCCAAAAAATCCTCTCAACAAGTGGTACCCTATGTACGTTAATGAAGCCAACACCTGCTCCACTTATTTCCGCGCTGATATAATTTACGCCTGTGTTAAACACAGATGGGCGAGTCGTAGTGTTCGGGTAGATGTTCATTAATCTACCAACAACTGAGGTGCGATAATTACGCGAGTTACTGCGTGTGGATCTCTCACAGTGTTGAGAGAACCAAGTCCTGAAGCCAGCGTGAACGTTTATCAAACTCCATGGCACCTCTTGTAGACCCGCATAAACATCCACTGACACCCTGTATGTTTACAAAGGGTCATATCTGACCCATTAGAATATTTCAAGCCAAAAAAAGTTCAAGATTGTCGTAGCATCCCTTGTAAGATACTTTGCGCCAAAAATTGCTCAAAATGACCCGAATCATTTTGAACTCTGTTCACGTCAAGTGAATTAAACTAGCTAGACCTAATCGGTTTAGTTTCAAATTTGTTTCAGTTTGTAAAACAAGAAGTGTTGCACCATTTGCAATAGAAATACATTAACTTTATGATAAGTAGGGATTAAATTGATAAATACCTTTATAGCATTGATTAAATCATCAAAATCATTGAGATGATCCAGAATGGTGAGTAAACAATCATCGGGAAGCTCGTTGATCAACATTGCAAAATCAATATAATAATTTGGCAATGTATCAAAATTTTGATAGCAGAAAACTTCAAATAAAAAACTTAAAATGCATTAAATAGCAGGATGAAGTGCAGTAAAACCAAAGAGTAAAGCTCAGTTAAAGAAAAACTTTCTCGGCAAAGTTTTCTTCACTCAGTTCAATATGATATTTTGATATTGTTAATTAATCATTAGTAAATGATTAAAACATTATTATGAACAAATTTTTATTCACTGAATAAAATTAATAACATTATAATGTTATAACATTAAAAAAACATTAATGTTTAATACATTAATGATAAAACATCATTTTGATGTTTATTTAGTGATTGCTTAATAATCCTAAGTCTACTAACAATCGTGTTAATCTAACTGCAACGAGAAGTTAAATGATTTACTATCGATTGTTTATCATATAACTTCGTATCTGATTATGATCTGATTTTTACATGATTATGATTGTGACTATCATTTCACACTTAAAGTTAAATTCATCATTATTTTGCAAGATTTATTAAAATTAACTACTCACTTGATAATTTAGAGCCTTCCACCTATCCACACCCTCTTTTCACACAATTTGGAATTCCGTCCCTTTTAGCAACGATTTGTTTCGATACATTTTAGGGGTCAAAATATAGATTTTAGATGACGATTTTCGACCTGAAAAATAAGGTTTCGCGGATATATCTTCTTGGTGATATACTTTATACTATCCATCGATAGGTCACATTTGTTACCAGATCTGGTAACGAATATGATCCTCTTGATTGTTTGCTTAGAATAATCAAAGTACAACTGCCGGATGATTTGGTTTACCCAATTGATTAGCATGATTGAAAAATTAAATCCATCAAAAACCATCTTTATTGGCGATACACTTAGAGCCTATTTTGACAAGACAGACTTGTTTGGTTGTACCTAATTTTGTGAATCTCGAAACCAGATAGGGTTGTATGGCAATGGTTTGGCTCCTAATTCAGGGACATAGAAATGGTGATACTTTTAACATTACCAAACAAGTCTGTCTTGTCAATAGATATACATTAGCTTTGGCCAGATAAATTTGATTACTTCAAAGCAATCAATCAAAAGGATCATATTCGGCACCGGATCTGGTAACAAATGTGACCTATCGATCGATTGCTTTGATTGTTACCCAAAGTATATCACCAAGAAAGATATACATGAGTAAATGACTCGAATAAGGGACAGAAATGGTGATACCTGCAACATTACCAAACAAGTCTTTTAAACTCATGCCTCACACTTACTGCATTGTCTAGCAATGCAAAAAGATGCTTTATATAATACGAATTTGTGTTTTAATGAATTTGAACTTTTGCTTATTGAATCAAGGTTTTATTAAGGTTCTACAAAGGTTGTAACCAATATGCTTATACAAAGAACAATAATAGGAAAATCTTCTAATTGAAAAAAATATTTGTCACATGTAATTTAAAGATTCATTTAATTTTATTTTCATAAATCTATTAACAAACAAAAGATCTCATGTTTCAATTCATTTATTATGGAGATTAGATTTTCTAATCCAAATAAATAACCATCTTCGTGGTTACCCTGGACCCAAGGGGAAACATGATCAATGGTAATAGCTTTAGGCAAGGAGACAGTTTTTGCACAATCAATCATCCAAATGTTCACTTTATCGGAATCATAAACTAAAAGTATACTACTGCCGACAATTTCATGGGATTCAAAGAATGATGAACACTTAAAAGATGATTGAATCAGATCCAAACGGTCCAAAATTTCATGGAACTGACCTCGATCGGTCGGCAGAAATTCTCTCAAAACTTTTTTCACTTGTTCCTTCGTGTTTACAAATGCTAAATCCTTTTTGGTTTGGTGAAGATTCGTCTTAAGCAATGCTTCAATACGAAATCCTAACTTTGATGAAGAAGTCAATTGCTCCCGAATTTGCATATATTTCAATTTGGTTATTGCCATGGCTTGTTTCTCTTCATCAGATAAGGCACTAGGATCCAGTTTAACCATTTTCTCAAATAGATCAGATCTTGGTTCAGCATTAGAAATTTCGTCCTCCAGAAAAGTCCTTGATCCCATTTTGATATCCATAATGTAAGGATTGTCAAAATGGTACAATAGATTGTCAATGGCAATGTGACATGATCCGTTAACGGTTAGGCAGCCGTAGAAATTCGGTACAAAAGGTTTCATAGTTGCTTCTTCCATTAGTGATTCGTATGCAAGAGCTTCATTCCCATCACATTTTTTATACAAAAGTCCTGATTTGTGAAAGACAAATGTATTCTTGTGACCAGATAGCTGCGTCCAACTCGTTGGAGCCATATACATTAACAACACACTAAATAATCAAACACCAATCAAGTTAAACAGAACACTTGAGATAAAAAGAAAAATGGTAGGCTCTCATGGTTGCGAACTTCCTGATTTTAATGTAATTGGAATAGACATTTTTGATGGGATCGAGCAACTCCAAATTTGGCATTAACTCTTCAATATCTCATTATTAAAGCTTTCAATGAGCGCATTCTTGTTCACATTCAGTGCTTAAATGAAATTTCTAACTTTTAGCATAATGATCGATTGCTTTGATTGCGACATTGCCAGGTAAACATATTTGGCTAAAAGAGAGTAAAATAAAGAAACATGATTGTTAAATGATTTAATCCAAAATAATCCGTTTTTTAATAAATTTTCAATTTTCAAGTTTTAAAATCATGATTTTCAATTAAGATCACCATTGAACTAAATTTCATGCGAATTAGATTTGCAGATGAGATTGAAGTAAAACTGCCAATACATAGAATACTCGAATACACTGCTTTGAACGTAGTTCATGTGGTACGAAACCAATTACCAGACAATAAAGCATTTTAAAACAGTAGCAATACTCACGATCGTCAACATTTTGCCAATGATATAGCTCGCCAGACATTTATGTTGAGTTGAACATTTGCACAATGTTTGACAAGACAGACTTGTTTGGCAATATCAAAAGCAAACTTAGAGCCAAGCATTTATGTTTAGTGTAAATCTCTATGGAAAAATGATTTTAAAAGTGTATGTCTCACATCAACCAAAACGTAAGACTTGTATCTCAGATTTATTGAATTTGATAATCATTTTAATCAATTGGGTACTCGGCAGTTGTACTTTGATTATTCTAAGCAATCAATTAATACATTATCATTATCGGCCAGAGGCAAACATTAATGTTGGGCTCTCTGTGATCGATTTGCAGACGAGATGCGGTTTAAGGACAATTTATCTTATCAAATTTGCAATCAAAAATAGTTTCCATCATTGAAAGGGTAGATTGAAAAATAATCTGCTTTTTACTATCACGCATCTTACATTCTTTTGTTTACATAATTAAATAACAAATGAGTTGTAAGGCTTTTTTGATTGCTGTTCATGATAATTGCTAATTACTTTATTACTGAAAAAAAGTCTTTGCAATTTTCTTTATCCAAAAGTTCGTTAATTTCACCAGCTTTCCAATGATAGTTCCTAAGATGCCCTTGAATCCTCTGCCATGAAGTGAAAAATTCATCGCAATAAACACATTGAATTGTTATATCTTCTTGGTGCCGCATGTGCTCCAACAATGAGTTACTGCGACCAAAGGTATCAATATCTGATTCAAGACATTTGGGACAGGCACACTTGAGGTAATTATTCTTGGTTCCCGAGACTTTGACCATTTTGCTCTTCATTCTCTCGTTTAACTTTTCAGCGTTTAAAATTTCTCCATCTTTAACCAAATTCAAGTAAAAAGTCCTCTTCTCATTGAGACATTTGTTTTTTTTCAACACCACCTTTGAGCTATCGGGACTGAAAAATAAATAATACGAAATTATACAATAAATCAGTTAAACTGCAAAAAAAGTATTGTATCAATTTACTTACTTTACTTGTACCATTTTCTCTAATTCACCAACACGTTTGACCAAAAGACTCAATCTAGTTCTCGTTTTTTTCTTACTTTTTGTTTCTTTAATTGGCAATTTTTTTCATTTACTATTTCAGCTGGTTAGAAAAAGATATTAAAAATAAGAACATTTTCCGGTAGATATTGCAGTGATGCGAAGCTCAAAAGTATCAAATATGCATGTTCACTTGTCATATGGTTAGGCGATACAATCAGTCGGAAAATTTAATCTTACTTGGTTCGATGATAGTGTCCTGTTCCATATTGAATTCATCTTGTGTTTCATCGCCATTCCTTGGGGTTTGGAAGCTAGAGATTGATCTATTGGATCTATTGTGCAAGGATATGAATGAGATACATTTTCAAAATGAATGAGTA